GTTTAAAGGTCGAAAAGCTTTTACTCTTTTCTTTTTCTCCCACAATTCTTTCTTTCGTTTCTGGTTTCCTCTGGCCTCAGTTCCACAAGGAAATGCTGACGGTTTAATAACAAAGCTAACAGCAACAACCAAATAGCAGGGCTGCTAGTCAAAAAAAAAAAATGGAAAAAAAGAAAAAAAAAATCACTAAAATCCACTATGTAGTCTTGGTTCATACCTATGATAAAGTAGCAAGGAAATACTGCGCTAATGGTTGAGAGTTGCCAGAACAGCTGTTGCAGAAGACAGCAGGAGTTTTCTCTCACAAGACTCATTCATATCCGAGGATCCTGCCTCCTCACACTGACCCACACCCCACTTCAGGAGAACCCAAATGAAGAGGAGTATGACGCTGTATCTGAGCTCCCAGTTTTGTAACCAATTGTGATGGGAGTTTAATGCAAATCTCCGAAACACGACACGAGACGTACCCTAATCAGCCACTGTGTCTGGGTATCACCATCTATACCCCCTCGCCGTCCCACGCTGTAATTCTCTGTAGCTTTTTCTGGAGAGCAAACTGCAGGCAGGCAGACATTGGCCTACCAGCCCTGCCTGCCCGTGTCCCAGGCAGGGTCACTGATGGTTCCAGCAGGTCAGGAGTGCACAGTACAAGCCCAGCAGCTGCCCTCCAAGCCCCAAGAAACTGTCTCAATCTCTCCGAAACATAAAGTGACGCTCTCTGCAAGACTCAATAAGGACTAGTCCAAGGTTTAGGTTTTCTTGTCCAACAGTGCCTGGTTTTCCTTCTGAGACCACAAAAGTCCATCTGGATCCCATAGGAACAGGGCTGGCAATGAGCTTGCTGACGGCCAGTGCACTGCTACAGCTCACTGTCTGCTGCACTGGCTCAGCAGCTCTGTACAGACTTTGCTGGTAGGATCTGGTAGGCCACAGAGTGACCAAACAGCCCAAAATGCCCTGCAAAAACCACCCTTCAAAGGCATCACACCGAATTCCTGCAATTGGTGGAAGATATTGAGTGGAATGATGCAGTGCAAAAGTTCTATTTTTTGTGAAGAACAACAAAAAAGTTTAGCCAGCCAGGGTTGATTACTTTTCCTGCTTTGGAGGATTTGTGCAAATGGTTACTGATGATCAATAAAAAAGCAGAGCAGGACGATCTGGGCTGCGTTCCTCAGCGGGAGTTTGGGGAAGTATCTACCCCAGAGCACCCAAAAGTAAACTGATTATTCCCCACAGCTCAGTGAGAACCACAGCCAAACCGCTGTCTTCTGTACTGCCTGCACGGCCACTGTCACCATGGTCCAGGAGCAATGATCTATGCTACGATAGGACTCAGAAATCCCAAGAAGTCCTGTTGATCGATTCTGTGTGGTATTTGTGGGATCCTGCTGAGAGACAGCCCGTCGTTGACCTGGTAGAACTGATTTACACCACTACCTGCCTGTGGGCTGCTCACATAGTGCATTACCTTCAGCGAGCTCTGCCCAGATGCACAAGCAGTTTTTGACTGGCAGTTTCCTGGTTAGAGCTGTTTATCAAAGCGTCCACCAGTAAGTGGCCTAAATCTCTTTTCACTGCACACACCGCCCATGGATTTGCTTCTCCAAACAATTGATTTTTACTAGACCCTTTGGACAGTGTCTTTTAGTGTCTTTTAGTCTAGCCACAAGGACTCCCTTGGAATGATTTGCTATCCCAAACATTGACAGATCCTCATGTCCTGGCTGAAAACGAAGCTTCCAGAACCCTCATGATGAAAGTGAGAGGACAACGATGCACTGTGTGAAAAATATATACTAGAGTATCATAGCATGATAGGCCAGTGGCTATTTATATCCTTACACCAACGTGTTATCCTGGCCATAACCTGGCCACGTTGGATAAGCTTGTATTTAAAAAAGTTGTAAATAAAAGACAAAGGTTGATATTTGCAAGACAGGAAACTGGATGATCAAGCTTGGGTAGGTCAACCCTTTTTCAACACACATAAGCATAACTTGCTTTGCTTGTCCTCTGTGAGGAAAAAAAAAAAAAGCATATGCATTATATGCTGTAATACAAAAGGAAGCCCTTGCGTTTTTTACTGCAGTTCTTTTGATATTTGATAAGCTGGGCCCTCCAAATAAGGTGCAGTTTCCACCAGAATTTTATAAAGCATTTACAGTAAGTGCTATAGTTATCTTTAATAAGACATCTCTGAGGTGGGGCCAATTCCAAAAGTAATCTTAGTTTTTCTCATTCATCAAATGGAACTCGGGACTGCAGAAAGCTGTCTGGGACAAAACAGTGGAGCTGTTTCCCAGTATTTTCCTAATATTAAAGAATCTTGTTTTGTCCAGTCAAGGACATTCTTCAAAGATAAACGTAGACTTGTAACTAAAATGAATTCTGGTGAAGTCAAGCAAAAAACTTATACAGACAAAACCACTCCACTGATGAGGACACCCACTATGCTGCTACCCTGAAACCTCACTCGAATTACAAAACCACCCGTTTAATGTTCAGTGGTTCTTTGAAATCGATATTTGTAAACCACATTACTTTCACTTTCTCAAGCAGATCACTTTTCACATTTATATCCTTCACTCCACAAGTCCATAAACCTACAGTTCATGCTTACAGTCTCTCACCTGATTTCAGTGTGCCACACTCACCTGGAAGAAGTTGCAGCAGGAGTACGTGGAAGCCGCAGGACCAGCACAGCCAGTCAGAGGATCAGAGTGGGCAGGTGGGGAACAGCACTGCAGTGCAGCTGCCAGAATTCAAACACAGTTATCAGACTTCCAGAACTTATGTTTGGTAGGCAGGGTTTTATTGCTTACTCTCATTAAACATTTCAATAAAATCACACAGTAAACAAAATTCCAGAAATGTATTATTACCTCTCAAGTGATTTTAAGACTGATTTCTTCATCTTAAAAAATATTTTTTCTAATATATGCATACACATATTAAAAATCGATATTGTAAAATTGATACACGCACATAGAAACCTCACAATCACAGTCTTTTGTATCGTAGTATCCCCTCTTTGATTTAGCTGCTTGCTTTCTCATCACAACATACCACAGGAAGTGGATTCATAGAAGAAGACTCCAGACATTCATACAAAAACACGCACATGCAGAAATTAAACAGTGATTTTATTCTAGAAAGCAACTTTGTAGGTGAGGCAGTATTCTGCAGGTATTATTTTTGGGTGACACGAAGAAACAATTTAAAAGTAAAGGCATTATTTACACAACAGATGCTCTGCAATCATTCCGAGAGAGAGAAATCCCTGATGAAATCAAGTTTAGTCTAATGCTCATAAGAAGTACATGTAATAAGTATAACTTGAGATGGCAAACAGACTAGATCAATTTATTTGCAGTGCTTGACACTTACATGGGATTTCACTCGAGACAGTAGCTGCGATAACCAAGATGGTTTTTTAATATCTGTACCTATTGCCCTTTTTAATATGACATTGCTGGTTTTTTGTGTAGTTTGGAGCAACAAACACAGGTGCTCAACAACACAGAAAGAGCCAGCGGACACCCTTCTAAAGAAGCACAAGATACGTGTATGACTTGTGTTACTTCAAAAGCTAATTCTGAGCAATTTTCACTCACTGCACACTCCAAAGTATGTTAACAAACCTCAGAAAACCACCAAAAAAAACTTTCGAAGGGCTATTGTGCAAGACAAAGGAGAAATTTCTGGTAACCTGCTAGAGTGATTCTAAGGGAAAAAAACCCACATATTACAAAGAACCTATTTTCTAAGAAAAGAAAAGCAAGGACCTGAAGGGACAAAGTGCTTGTGAAATAGCAGGTAAGTGTAAAACACTAAGTCTAGTTCATATGCTGAAAAAAGCAACAAGTGAAATATAAATGACAGCGTTCTTACAGTTAGTAGAGCTTATAGCAAAAGCAACTCATTAATCAAACAAATTGTTATGTTTGTATATCAAAGCGAGGAGAACAAAAATAATTGTGTAGCAGACTAGAGCAATCGCTGATTCTCAACAGTTCTGAAATGCAGAATGTTGCACAAAAAGAATGTTTTGCACTTGCAAGAGCTTTTTTTTTTTTTTTACCAGCTCATAGGCTATGGCAGTGACCGATCTAACAGCAAGAACAACTGCGTCTGTGGAAATATCATGGGAGATGGAAAGGAGCCAAAGGCAGTCAGTTAAGGAGAGAATCCACAGTCAGATGGAGGCCAGTTTTAGATAAGCACCACCGATCACCCACAGTCACAAAAGGAGAGGCACCATACATCCAAACAATTTTTCAAATAACACTGAAGAAAGCATTTACTGACAGGCAGTGTTACCAAAGGCAAAGGTGGCGACTCATTTATAATACTTCAAATCTTCAAATTGAATCAAGATTCAACAAACATACCTGCTTTTGTCCTACCCTGTTAATTGGAGAGAAGAAGAAGTTTCTAAGCTCTTTTGACTAAGATATAGTTAATGTAGTCATACCCAGAAGAAATTACCAGCTGAAGCACATTCTGTCACTGGCTGTTACGAAATAACTGACAGTGAACATGGATCTCATTTGAATACTAAGGAGACAGGGATGAATGGCATCTTATGGAATAAATGAATATTTACTGAATAAATTAAGAAAAAGATGCAGCCCCTTCCATCAAACAAGATGGATCAGCCTCAAAATAGATTTGGTTTCTGCCAAAAAAGAGATGTACTTCTGCCCATACAAGCTAGGGATGGAAAATTTCACAGACTCATTAGGACACAGTATGCGGAATATCAACACTGATTTATGAAAATGGAATTGCTGTCAGCGGGGCTATAACCAACCCGGCAATGGACCCCTTAGGACAAGCGCAGATCAACAAAGAGCACAGTTCAAAGCACAAGGAAAGGACAAAATACTCTGCATCACAAATGTTCTTGTGCTTTTTTATATTTCAAACATACTGAAAATATCTGTGGATATCCAAAGAGGCTGCAAAGACATCAGCCAAAGAAATCAATACTTTTAAAGGACGTTATTTAGAAGTACATTAATAAAAAAAATATAAGCAAATACAATTTATAAATCTGACAGTTGAGTAATAAAAATTAGAAGGAAATACAATGGAATAGAGAATGAGTTGACACTGGATAATATATATAAATATATAGGATATTTAGACTTCCAAAACCCTTTTAACAATGTCATCATCAGAAACTCTTACAAAAACTGAGCAACAACAGCGTGGGAGGGAAGGCTGTACTTTTAAAAAATTATCTATCTTAAGGATACAACACAGAAGATTGGAATAAATAGGTACTTTTCACAGGTGAGAGAGGTCACCAGTGGAGGTCCCCAAGGACCTGAACTGGAACTCATGGTACTTGTCATTCTAATAAAATTCTTTAAAAATGGAGTGAGTGAGCACTGAGGTGATGCCTGCTGTTAGTCCTGTCAGAAAAGAGCAGTCAGCTATGAAGATGTGGTAAAAAAACCCTTATGAGTTTCCCAAAGCTGCCACCCACCAGATAAAGCTCCGCACTTAGGATCTCACACAGAAAATGATGGTATCGTAGTTGTCAATCAACAATCAGGAACTAGATCTTGGTATTATAGAAGATAGTTTCAGAGAGGTATCAGCTTGACACTCAGCAGCTGTCAAAAAGACCTCCAGAGTCACAAAAGAAACAATCAGGTTGTTAGGAAATACTTACAAAAGGGAATGGAGAATGAAATAGGAACGTTATTATTCCAGTGTTTAAATCCATGATTCATACCTTGACCACTGTGTAGATTTTTGGACTCTATATCTCAATAAGAAATAAGGTACAGGGAAGGCAACATGGGTGATGTAGTGCACACTTTTCGGAAGGAACAGTGAAGTGGGACAGAACCCTCCAATCTAGAGAAAATGCAGCTGAAGGAACTACGATAGAAGTGTTTAAAATCATGAACAGTGCAGTGAGAGGGATATGGATACAGACACATTCACAGAAAAACTAACTGGAGATTTAATGAATATGGAATAGGGGCAAAAGAGATAAGAAAAGGTGGCTCATTGCATAAAATGCAATTAAGCTGTGAAATGAAGCCCTTGTCACAGATGTATGTGCCACAAGTCTACATTGGTTGGGAGAAACAGGCATGTTCACGGAAGCGAAATCCACTGAGGGCTATTAAATACAACTCCTGTTACAGTTTATTAATTCCCTGAGCCCACATCGTTGAGAGTATTTTGGAAAAGCACCAGCCCGTGCTTTGTCTACTCTTGCACTCCCCCTTGGCCATTACTGTCACATGATGAGCTATAGGGACATTTGGTCTGATCAAGGTTAATATTCTTATCTCCAAAGCAGAGAACTATTCATTAGAGAATTAACGAGGCATTCACTAAATCCTGTTTTCTCAACACTGGCAAAATCAGATGAGTTGTATAAAAATAAACAAGGGAAATTTAGCTAGAGGGATAACAATATTAACATTATATTCTTATATACATTTCCCTCCTCATGAGACAACATTGTTTTGTGGGCTCTTGATGCTTCAATAGAGAAGAATAAATCAATCGATAAATCTGTGCTGAAGACATGAAGGCTACAGCTCTACCAGTAAATTAAATGCACCCAGACCCATTCTCTGGCACAGTGTCTGATAATACTATTAAAATCTCTTACTCTTCCAAGTCAAAACAGCCACATCTGAACACCCCCTTGAGAATGGCCCCAAACCCATGACAACCACTGCCCTAAGCCCCATGCTTTTGGGGGAGAGTGCTAACCGCTAACAATCTAATGACGGAGCTGATCGAGACACCCAGGCACTTCTCCTGGCAAAGTCTAACACAGCAGCACAGATACAGACAGATATGCTTGAGCTCAGCCATGGTTAGAACATCTACGTAAGATCTGAGAACATCGAAACAGCTCCATGTCACAGTTTGATGTGTACACATTTGTACTGCATGCTTTTTACAGGTTTCAACAATACAGGGAAACTCAGGAAAGCTGAAGCCCAAAAATAAAAGCAAACCCAGTATGATCAGCAGCAGATCTTTACCATAATTTCTCCAAAGATCTGCTGGAAATTGAAGGACCACATGTACCATCTCTACGCATTCAAGACAGCACCAGACACTAATAAGCGTTATTATCAGCTCAGCTGGTCAAAGGGGATGAGACTGACACTTTCCAGCATCTTCCATTCCACTCGAGCACGCACTACATGGGAAATACCAAAGAAGAACCTTAAAACCATCCTTTCAGTGTGAAATTACCATGTCAGGTCCAAAAGTTATGCCTAAGAGAAACTAAGTCATCAGGCAACTGGATCAACAGTACTCAAAGGTGTGCAGGAAATTAGGGAATGCAGCTGTGCCCGTTTCTGCCAGATCAATGAACACATCAGATTGGGCCTGAGCACCAAAACCATGCAAACTCCAATGCTTTACCAACCAAAAGATTGATGAAAATGAGGATGATACCCAAGATCTCCTCAATAAGGGAAAACGGGAAAGACAACGTTGTTTGAACTGTCTTAGGAATTTCAGAGGGATTAACTGCATTACTGCTACATAGACTGCGATGTGTAGCAGTCGCCAGGACTCTGCACAGTCAATGAACAAATGGGCTCATCAGAAAGAAATGAACTGTCTTCCAAAGACATACGTCTAAGAAAGCTGGAACAACTCAACCCCTGGGAGGTGCCTGTTTCTCTCTGCTGGCTACATATGTAATCTAGATGACAAGCCCAGGCATATACAACTAACTATTACACATTCAGATGAATCTTAGGCAAGATTAATCCTACTACTAGTTTTACAAGTGCATTACTAATGCATCTAGTCTGCTTTTCTCAAGGGAAAACACAGTGCTATTTATGCTGTGTTAAAATAGATATCGTGTTTTCAGCTAATTACTTAAGAATCCCCCTTTTGACTACACATATGTGAATTTTAAGTTTTACAGACAAAGAGAAGTATTTATCTTAACAGAGGATGTGTGTTTCAGAATAACGCGATGGCTGCTAAGCTACCACTCACCAGAAAGGTTATCATATGCAAATGGACTCTGCAGCCACAGATGTGTTCAGAAGGCACTACTGGACTTGAAATGTCAGCTGGCACCAATAACTAACATTTCTCACATAGTCTCCTTGACTGATTTTTCATTATTAGGATGCTCTCTGATAATAAAGCTTCACTGCCTTTCTTTGATGCAATCCTACTGTTACCAAAGGTTTCGCAGATAGTTGAAAGCAAACAGCACTAAATCCTTAAAATAATTATGGTCTAATCCTAGCAGGAAAAAAGGTACAGATGAGCATCTTTTATTTTGCTGCCTTTCAATAAAAATCATAATGAAAAAACAGGGAAATCTTGTTGTTGCTGAAGTTAACAAACAAGTTTGAATATACATAAGAAGAAATCTTTTGACAAAGTTCTACTTTGATTTAATTTAATAGGACTTCAAAAGTGAGATGAGAATAGTCAAGAATAAGACTGAACATATATACTTTAGTGCCCTCGCTTATGACATACCTATTTTAAGATTAACTGTAGCTTTCCAAATAAGCCAATCTTCATTCTGTGCTCTCAAGATGAAGGAAAGCAGATTTTTCTCATGTGGATACATGAAGGAATAAGCTTTTAACATCCTGCATGTTATAACATACAGAAGAAAGGATAGCAGAGAGATGAAGAGATACACAGGAACAGAAGTAAAAACACTGAGACAGTGTTTTTAGTGACAGTGATAGTGACAGTCAAAATGAAAAGATTTATAATACTCTCTAGTGAAATGGCAAAGTTATCTTCTCAGAAGTACTAATGAATTCATCAGAGTTTTCAAAAGCCTCGGATTCAATCAGTTGCTCTATTTTAGTTTGAATTACACCTTAATTTTTGTACCTTGCAACATTTGTTATGCTTTAATCATGCTCTCCTCCTCACCTCCCGCCCTGGAAGATTTTACCTGTATAACATAGCCACTTTATTCTTTAAACTTTTGTAACTCCAGTGAGAGAGACAAGCGTCATCCAGTTACAGAGATCTACATATTCATGTCCAAATCTGCGCTAGTCTCCCTCAACTGCTTCACAGTCAGTACTGCAAAATAGGCCCTTCCAGGATGTGAGTAATCTCACCCTGAGACAAAGTCTAAACCAAGCTGTGTGAATCGCACGCGGGAGTTGCCCATTTCCTCCCCTTGACTACAGAAGGGGCCTGGGGGACTAGCTGAGATGCAGACATCTAAAATTCAGTATGATGAACTTCAGCCTGTGTAACTGATAGAAACATGAAATGGGGACCAGCTCCCATCTAAAGCAGGCATTCTGGATGAGGCCTTGAGCAATCTGGTCGAGTGGGAGGTGTTCCTGCCCAAGGCAGGGGGGTGGAACGAGATAATCTTTAAGGTCCCTTCCAAGCCAAACCATTCTATGATTCTCAGGACACCCCTACTAGTTTGCAGCTGCTGATGCAGTCTGTAGCCACCACAGTAATCTTTCTTAGTAGCGCAGGGCAAGGAGCGAATGGCAAAAGCTGCCTGTCCCTTAAACATTTAAGAATGTTCACAAGAAAGACCTAGCTCCTCAGAATCCTTCCTTGACAAAAATGATGTTATGGAAACAAGTGATTATCGTCTGAAACGTTCTTAGCACAGGTCTCAGAGGATGCGCGCAAAAGACGTGAAGATTTCACTGTGGACTTGGAGAAAGACAGCAGCCACCATAGACAGGATTTCTAAACAGGAATATCTCTCTTAGTGAAAGTGCAGCTGCCGAGGGAGAAACAGGCAGAAGGAAAGAACAATAACTGAGGTTTAGTTTGTTCAAGAAAAGAGTCTGAGTTTCAGATGTTTTAGGGAAATTTAAAAAAAAAAAAAAACAACACAAAACAACAAACACATCACCACCCCCTAAAAAATAACCTATCATGTGATTTTTCCAATTCAAGGTAAGGGCAAGGAAAAGAATAATAATTTGCTTCAACTTCTCTTCTGAAGAATAAAAGCACTTAAGTGAGCCTGAAAATTTTAGCAGAAACATTTTAGACAAAAGAAAGGAGTCAAGACTTTTGTACTTTCTAGTCTTCAGTACATTAAAAAAATACAACATAAAGCAAGCAGCAAGAAAAAAAATACTAAGATCTAAAAATATTAAGAGCAGAATGAAATATTCTACACACTACTTCGACTGATCTTTGACTTTTAAAACTTAACCTGGGAAAACATGAGACCAAGGACTAGCATACTACTTTTCAACAAGTTCCCAGTGCTTTAATATCATTGTCCAAGTTTTGCTTAATTTAAAAAAAAATATGAGCACTAGCCTAGCACTGGAAAATCACCAGGGGACACTCAGAATCTGGAGGGAGAACAGGATTACCAACCAGAAGATCTTTTTGCTTTAAAGGTCTCTCTTCCTATTAGACTTTACACTTTCAAATTTTCACTTGAGATATACACATGACAGAGCATTGTAGAAAAATACTTAAAAGTATCACTTTTAAATATCTTTTTGAAAAGCAAGTGCAGAATTCTTTTCATACCTGTTGGATAGTAGGTTTGTGAGTACTGCATTGAAGATGTGTAGCTGCTGTAGTTTGGAAGGGAGGTGGCAGAGCTTTTAGACCATTGACTAGGTGGCAGCACAGAGACGACAGGCCGGACTGTGTACGTCACCTCTGTTGGACACCTCCGGAGGCTCGGAAAGGCAACCCCTCTACCTGGAAAAGGTGGGGAAGTCTCATGCCCTGGAAGCAGCCCCAGAGAACCCTGCCATGTTCTGGAGGAGACTGGAGTCCAATCAAAACTTTCTGTCAGTAAGGTGCTGTGGTTCTGGTATGAGGTCGGTATGTAGGAGTAAGGAAAGAAACTCTCTTGACGATAAGGTTGATGAAACTGTCCTACAGTCGGCAGTCCTGCAGCAGATACAAAATAAAGTGAAACAAGCGTTAAGGAAAGGAGTTTTCACAGGCAATGAAAGGCAATATAAGGAGCCAGGGCTTTACAACATGATTTGGGAAGACTACCTTTGCTCCAATATACTCAATCCAGAAACAGACCGTATTCTTACACCTGAACGCACAGCAACTGCTGCAGTGGCAGATCAGTTGTAGCATTCAAACACCTTAGACTTGCAGTTACAAGTTATCAGTGTTTAGAAATATGCTATAAATCAGAATGCGTAACCAAACAAAAGTAAATCAGAAAATACTCTGTGTGTGTTAAATCAGACAATTCGGTTAAAAAAAGAAAAAAAGGGAAATCATTAAGCAAGTCTTCAAGACCTGTCCGAACTCCAACGCTGACAGCTCATGGACAGCTAAGGGAAGGGCAATGTCAAAATCCTTCAAGTGACTTGGAAACTAATTTATGGCAAGTCATTTAATTTGTCAAAGAAAAAAAAAAATCAACACCAACTCTTCCAGTCAGCTCAACTAGTTCAGTTTAGACTAAAATGTCCCAAACTTTGCCATTCTATTATTTCCTGTATGTGTCTTTTACTCATCCTTACTTTCCCCTCTTAGTCAATTATTATTTCATGAAATGGTATTTAGTCATATATCATGACAGCTCAATTTCTATTAGAGGTTTTGGTGACTTTGTTGAAACACTGACAGTAACACCAAGAATGCCTACGCTCATCGAATTCCTAAAAGAACTACTGCATCTGTGACTTTTCCATGGCATTGTATATAGTAATTGTAAGTTTCAAGACAGTTTACCTCAATAGGACTTACCTAGAAGGCAAGTTTTTCTCAGACCTGCAGCTCCCAATTCTCACCCTAAAGGACTTTTTACAAAAATAGCCTCCCATTTACCTCTTTCACTCCTCTGGGAACTAATTCAAGAAATGGGTAACATACAGTCATTATTCTGCAAGTTCATATTAAATCATTAAGAATCACTAAATAAATACCGGCTGGCCCTGAAAATTTAGTACGAATTAATGTAAAGGACCATTTATTTCCTATTCAGCATTTTTACCATATATAAAAAGAGAATGAACAGAGGAATGAGTATTCCTTTGCTTATATTTTACCTTTGGATAGGGAAATTAAGACTATCTAGTTTTAACACATAAACAAGACACCAGAGGATGCCAAGTTACGAAGCTTTACAGGAATTATTCCTGGATGTTTAACAGAGTTACATGTTGCAAGACATTTGGAACCGACTGACTCTTTGCAAACAAAAATATCTTCTATCTATCAAATTACCTCACATTTACAGCAAAGACATGCCCCTAATAGTTAGTACAGAGCACACTGTAAATTGTCAGCCTGTCAGAACTTGACTGCATATAAAACCCAATGTATTCCTTGTTCTTTTAGTCTTTCTAGAAACTGAGACTCCTGAAGCAAAAGCTCTCTAAAACTGCACCCATAAAAACAGAGGCCAAAAAATTAAAAGGCTGCAACTTTCTTAGCCTTTACTCTGGCAACAGCCTGCATTACATCAGTCAGACCAGATTTCATTGAAGAAGCCTGCAATGACTCATCTTAGTCTTAACAATATTAACATCAAATCTCTAATTTAAATGCTTCCTAGCCTCAGTATCAAAGTAAGTTCCTTTGCTTCTCAAATGCTTAATTTTGACATCATAGAAACCACCACACAAATGAGATGACAATTCCTACTCTGAAACAGTAACCAAGAACAAGTTCTGTGATTTTCTACTCTATCCTAAACGGGCCTGGTGCTGGAAGCAGCAAGACTGCTTCTCCCCTTGTCCCACACAGAGCCTTACAGCTCCGCACCCCCATGCTGCATCACCCTGGCCTGAGAACCAGCCATAAAAAGGCCACTCAAGTCTTCTTCTGAGATCCTTGTGCTGAACCAACACGGCTGCTCTATCAGCTACAAGCAAGATGATGGTTAACATGCAACCAAGGGAATGGAAGTAGTCTTCTGGTAGCAGCCCACAGCTCGATCAGACAAAGAGCAAAACAAGATACATCTCCCTTACACACTGTCAGCTACAATGCTCTGCTGCTTATGTGGAATTTTTGGAATAATTAGACTTGTCCTGGAAAACGTGGATGCTCTCAAGATGGGTCAGAAAGAAAGGAAATGTATTCTGAGGCTTTTAAACTGTTATCTTCTATTTAGCTCTCACCTACTCATTCAATCCTCTTTAAAAACTATTTAGCTTGTAACTTTTTCAGGAGGAAATCTTACCACTGTGTCTTTTCTAATTTGCACAAAACTGACAGGGTGCTCTAGCTGTCACTTCACACGACCCATCGTTTCACAGATTTAATGAGAGCTTATTGAGCATCCCTACTGACAGGCAGGGAGGGCTAACATTCATCTGGTAGAGCTGTGCCAGCTCCACAGAGATCGGGCGAGGGTGTTCTTAGTGTAGTACGCAACAGGGACTGCATTGTAGTCTACCGGCAGACTGAGATACTGTGACATGTGAACCACGTTACCATGCTTACCGGCAGCAGATCTACCTGCACGAAGAACAACCGTTTTCCTACACCGGGTGAACTGAGCGGCCACCAGCAAGGACAGGTAACCCTCCTCCCTCAGGGGAGTGCGATTTTCAGACCTCACACCACCCAGCACTTCTCAAAACCCACCGTGGCCCCACATGGCCTGCCCTGTCTCACCAGGCCTGTTGGCTTCGCCGAGCGTTGAGGGTGGCAGCAGCTGGTCCCCGTGCAGTGACGGGCCAAACATCCGCTGGAAGCGGTTGGGTGGGCGGCTGGTCACATCCAGGCCAGCCGCCAGCTTCGCCTTGTTGGCTCTCGTCAGGCGCTTCAGCTTGACGAGGAGTTCGGGGTGATCGCGTTGAAAGTGGGGGCTGTGGAAGTGGTGCAGGGGCCCGGTGGAGCTGTCACCGTCGCCAAGCCCCAGGCCCGGCTCAGGCCCGGGCCCTGCCACACCGTCTGCCGGCCCTGCCACCACCTTGCGAAAGCCGTACAGGTTGAGCTGTCGGATGAAGCTGGTGAAGTTCTTGGTCTTGAAGAAGTCGGCACCATCGCTGGCCGGCCCTGTGGCATGGCCTGGCCTGGCGCCCAGCAGCTCTTGCTCAAAGACCGGCTGGTCAATGAGCAGCCCCTCGCCACGGGCGTCCCAGCGGATGGAGCGGAACCGCGGGCTGTTCACCAGCTGCCACAGCTTGGCCGGGAAGTTGCCGGGGTTGACGGCTGCGGGAAGCTCCAGCTCGTCCATAGCGCCGCTAGGGGGAAAGACGCAGTGACCGCTCGCCCTCCAACGGTCGCCGCGGCCCCGCCCACAACCGCCCCTCCCAGCGCCGGGGCCGGCCCGGATGCGCCCGGCACGTGCCCGCCTCGCGACGCGAGACAACTGCTACCCCGGGTCCGCCGTCCCCTTCAGCGCCGCCATCACCCTCAGCGCCCCCAGGCCCCTCAGCGCCGCCATCATCCTCAGCTCCCCCAACCCTTCTGCCCCTCCAGTCCCCTTCAGCGCCGCCGTCACCCTCCACACCCCCAGTCCCCTAAGCGCCCCCCCAGTCCCCTCAGTGCCGCCATCACCCTCAGGCCCCCATCCCCTCAGCTCCCTGACTTCCTCTCAGCCTTGCCAGCTCCCTCAGCTCTCCCAGTCCCCTCAGCCCCTCCAGTCCTCTCAGCGCCGCCATTATCCTCAGTTCCCCCCCCAGTCCCCTCAATCCCTCCAGTCCCTTCAGCGCCACCATGACCCCCAGCCTCCCCAGTCCCCTGAATTCTCCCAGTCCCCTCAGTACCACCATCATCCTCACCTCCAGCAGCTCCCCCAGCGCCGCCATCACCCTCAGGCCCTCATCCCCTCAGCACCCCCACTTCCCCTCAGCCTCACCATCTCCCTCGGCTCCCCCCAATCCCCTCAGCACCACCACACCCCTCACCTTCACCAGCTCCCCAGCACCGGTGTCTCACTCAGCTCCACCAGCCCCCTCGTCCCCCTGAGATATTCCAGTCACTCTCAGCACTGCCATCACCCTTAGCCCCCTCCCCCGTCCCCTCAGTGCCACTGTCCCATCAGCGGCCCTCAGTCTCCCTCAGCCTAGCCAACCCCAGGCCCCTCAGCGCCGCTGCCTCCTCTCTGCCTCCCTCAGCCCTGACATCATCTCAGCCCTACCGTCCCCTCAGCCTTGCCATCACCTCAGCCCCACCGTCCCCTCAGCCCCACCGTCCCCTCAACCCCACCATCCCCTCGGCCTCTCCATCCCCTCAGCACTGCCGTCCCTTCACCCTCCACTGTCCCTTCAGACCCACCGTCACCTCAGCCCTTACTGTCCTCTCAGCCTCCTTGTTCCCTCCGCCCCACTGTCTCCTCAGCCCCAGTGCCAGCGGCAGCTCACGTTGGCCCTGTGAGGGAGCAGGCGGCTGACACCCACCGCTGACACCCACCAGCGGCACGGAGGGGAGTCGTGGGGCCTGGGGTCCCCGATCCACAGCAGGTGGGCACCGGGCCAGCAGTCTGGAGCCGGGAAATGGTTAGAAAGGCGGTAAAGTGAGGAAAGTGTGTCCTCGTGGGAGCCCGGTGGCTGGAGAGGCTGCGCTGGAGGGGCTGCCGGGGTAGGGGGGGAAGGCAAGTGGCAGGGAATAAAGAGTG